GATCTGTCATCTCTGGTGGATGATTTGCCGATTGGGTAAACAGTCTATGAGTCGTGGCACAATGCTTCTAGAGAATGTAGTATCCATAGAATGCGAGAAGAAATACCAACCAACCATGCATTTCAATGGCGGCCACCTTCATTAGATTATTGGGTTTGATTGGATTGATGTCGATGTTGCACCAAAAATAGCCAGCCAGCATCAACATCAGGATCAGATGCAATGGTCCATTTAGTGAACTTGAAGATTATTCAACATGACTGGGTAAAAATCACATGTAGGGATTTGGGGAGGTCACAAGAACCACAAGGAACATTAGAGCAGGCATCAGCATCATCCCTGGTCAGTACAGTCTCTTACCAGTGGAGAGCTTGGAGGTTGATTCCCATGTGTGAATCATATGTGATTATTGAATGATCTAAGATGATCATCTTGTGACCTTATGAGTCATGCAAGATTAAGATTGATGCGACCTCTTACATAACTTGGCTGCTCAAGATATCATAAACAACTAAAAGGAAAACCATTCATGGCCAATCCACTATTTGGAATTTTTGTTCAGTCAAGTCACAAGCACATCATCCTCTCCTCTGGTGATAAAAGAAGCTACCTCCAATATTAAAAGATAACAAAATTTTCAAATGATCATTGGGAGTTCGTAATAGATAAGAGGGTAGACTAATCAAAAGTAGAAGATGAATTTGGTGTAATAATAAGACAATATTATTTCTTTGTGACATGAGTAACATCATAGTATTGATGGAAGCCTTCTGTTTGACTCTCCTCTCCTCTCAATATATATATATATATATATATATATATATATATATATATATATATATATATATATATATATATATATATAGAGAGAGAGAGAGAGAGAGTGTGTGTGTGTGTGTTGACTAATTGGAGAATATCCATTAAAGTAGCAAATGTTTTGGTAGCCAAATTTGGGCTGCTAATTGACTTGGGGCCTAACTCTGTAGCCCCAATAGGCTTTTTTCAGCTGTTGGGTGAAGCCCAAACCCATCTATAATAAAATAATAATAAATTTTATGTAGTGAGAGAGTGCTGATCCAATTTTTGTTGAGTATAGATGTTGAAGAAGGAGAGGTGATATACTGTGAGGCTATGGTAGTCCTAATGGGATTGTAAGTTGTTTTGGCCGAGAGATATCAGAGCATGGATGTGAAATCAGAATTATTATCATGATTCATTAGAATTGTTATTCTGTATATCTAAATTTTCTTGGAGGTTTTTGATGCAGAGAGTATGTTTGTAATCCTTTCATATGGTTTTGCTGCTTTGAAAAAAAAATAAAAATAATAATAATAAACTGGTCACAAGTTCTTATGGCTTTAGAACACAACTTAGCTGTAAAAGCCTTCTTTGTCCTTCTCTGTCCAGGTTGTGTTCCAAGTGAAATGTCAGTGTTCGCCACAGTCCCAAGATCGGTGGTTCTCAGGATTAGGGTTCATGAGTTGATGCAGCGACCAAGCTCCACCAGAGGTTCATAGATACTGTGAGGAAGTCTTTGGTGATTTGCTATCACTGCACGCAAGAAGACAAGACAAGACAACGTCACTACTTTTATGAGATCTTCCTTCTGTGAAGCTGTCACTCTAATCTCCTAGGTCATCGGCTGCTAGCTTCCAACTCCTTGTGCTTCTTCTTCTGGTTTGTTCTGTGATCTGCGGTGGATAAGAGGGATGAGAGATGAAGATGCCTGTGGCCCACAAACACTGCGTTGGAGGAAGGTGCTCCATGCTCGATGACTGACACGACCAAAATAAGCCAGTCTCATCACCAACACCAACATCGACTACTCAGGTGGATGCAAAGTGCTCGACACTGTGAACCCGCACATCCATTAATGGTGGTGGGGGTTGCAGATGGCACTCGTACGTGATGCTGCACGGTGCTTTGAGATTCTCAGGTAGTCCTGATGGGTGGCGCCGATCCACTGCATGCAATGTACGTCGATTCCATTACAGTATTATGTTGCGTTGTTGTGTTATAGCAACTTAAACTTAGTAAGCACAATGCAATGTTATAAGCAACCATACTTTGTTTCATTGGGATTATGGATGGCAGAATGTCCTCTTTGAGAGTCGAACAAATGACTCGATTAACAATCAAATCATTCCCATATTAATCATCTTTACTTTCGGATTAGGTATCATGTTATCTAACCCCATCTACCTACTTCATCAAATAAGCTGTACATGTTTATTGGCTGCCGATAGAGACTTCTATCCCAGTTTACATCTCGATGATGACTAACAGTCCAAAGAGAAAGTGTCATAAGGACCCATCTATTAAAGTCGATTGCTTTCTTAGTAGTCATAAAGCTAGCAAAAGGGTGTGTTCCAATTAGAATCCGAAGCTTTTGTAGATACTTTCGATACTTGTGGGGTTAAGAGATCACGCATCTTAAAGTAATGCAACTCTTTCTCACTGTTCAATTCGAGTAAGTTTGCTTTGTGGTCGTCCCTCCCAAAGTTTGATGTGCACATCAACGGGCAAAAAAGAAGGCCTTTAGCTGCTACTTTAAGGGTTATTTCGAATCAATCAATTGCTTGATACATATTTGGATCTTCTTTCTACCAAAATGCATGTAGAACGTGTGTTCAATGCTTCAAAGATAATGTGAACTGTTTGAAATGTGCTTAAGGAATCTAACGGAAAGAATGATTGAGTCATGAAAGTTATCCTTGGAGTAGTTGAATCTTTTGGTTGATTTCAAAGGTTACAAATCATAATCCTTTTCTTCATATATATATATATATATATATATATATATATATATATATATATATATATATATATATATA